CTACAGTAGGTCCCACCAGCCTACCATTAGTCTGAGCTCTGTCTCTCTGTCACAATCCCTCAGCTTCCCCTCACCTCTCCGAGCGGAGCCGAGCGGAGCGCCGCCAACAGTCAGCGAGTGCCTCGGCTACACACATCATTGATACTAATGGGGACGGAAGGCTGGTGTAGGGTGCCGTGTGTGTGTGTGTGTGTGTGTGTGTGTGTGTGAGAGTTTGTGCACGCGGAGTAACCAAAGTCAGGATTACACAAGTGGAGCATGTGTGGTTGCTCTGCGGCACGGAGATCAATTCATGTCGCTGCAGCAAATGGCGTGACAACCAGTCTCCTCCCCGTCACCATCTGCCTCCTCGCTGCCAATTTGTCACAGCACATCCAAGTGTGGCCGTGCCCTCATTTAACACTGAGCAGGAGCACGACTCGGGGAGGAACAGGAGGAAGAGGAGGAGAAAATAAGGGCAGTGACAAAGACTGCAGCCCTCGGGGCGAACAGGCAGAGAGGTCAACTGGAGTTTATCAGAGGGCAAACACAAGAAATCCACACAGGAGGCGTCCTGGTGACTCAGCTGGCTCAGAGACAAAACACAGACCTGCACCAGGCTGGATTTAAATCTGCACCTCCGTCACACATCTCCTCTCTCTGAACATCAGCCCCTCCACCAGTCTGATGGAAAATACCAAAATGATTCATCTTAAAAAAGAAACTTCTTTAGTGATGTGCAGGAACGTTTCCTTCAGGTGATCAAACTAAGTTCCTGCCGACAGGTGGTCAGGTGGACGACAGACGTGTTATTTAAAACAACTCCAAAATACTTGATTCAATTTACCACAAATTAACCTGTAGGTTAATCAATGCCGGCCTGTTTCCTCCAGAAACTCTGTCTGTATCCAGGCTTCATTTTGTCCATATAACTGCAAACAGCTCTCTGTGTTTCACTGGGAGGATTATTACTGTGACACACCACGCTCACACAGTGGACAGGTGACGTGACTTCATGACGTGGATCATAAAATGGAGGGAAAGAGAGAAAAGAGTGAGGCGTGAAGAGAAGACACGGGTCAGAGTCTCTGTCACACCTTCCTGTCACTACAGCACATGATGGTGTTCAACATGTTCTCATAGAACACTTCGCATGAGATCCTGCGAATGATGTCATGTTCTTGACATACAGTGATGTAAAGTTACTGAGGTTAGGTTGAGGAAAAGAAACATAGTGAGGACGTACTCAAAGTCCACACGGATCTGAAAGGCCAAAGTCTGTTTTGATGTGACCCGTCCACCCCAACCTGCCTCCGTCCTGACAGGAGCTCAGACTGCTTCCTTCATTGCTGCTGTCAGTGCACTGGTCATGTGATCACAGCCTTTTAAATCACGTGGGATATGGACGAATTTGTGAGCGCTGATTTTTGTAGGAAAACATCAGCCTGTAGCATTAGAGTGTGGGGTGACCTCCAATACTCATTTTTACGAGACAGAGCTTGAACACATCATGAAGTGACTCAGTGTTACCTCCATCTGCTCTTAGCTCCACCTGCTGCCAACAGCTAATGTTAACCAACTGCTAACAGCTAACATTAACTAGCTGCTAACAGCTAACATTAACTAGCTGCTAACAGCTAACATTAACTAGCTGCTAACAGCTTACAGCTAACATTGACTAGCTGCTAACAGCTTACAGCTAACATTAACTAGCTGCTAACAGCTTACAGCTAACATTAACTAGCTGCTAACAGCTAACAGCTAGTGTTATCTACTTGCTAACAGCTAAAGTCCAGTTCAGACCAAAGATTCATGACGAGTCGAAACTGTTTTTGAATATTACAGAGAAAAGTGTCAGCGGGGTGAACGGGCCGGTCTGAGCTCGACTCAACTTCACCTGAATTACACAACAACCGGTGGAGTTAAACCTCCCAGCCTCCGAGGATGACGCTGACTAACTGTGAACACAGAGATCTTTGGTTTAGATTAAACTTCACCTGTAGCTCTTCTTTATGAGACAATACGTACATAGTTTGATGTCATGAGTCATCAGACTCTTTTGCTCTAAACACATGAAACATTTCACTCCTGATCTCCTGAATATCACAGATATTGATGGCACTGATGGCACGTCTTCACAAGTCGATTTATAACACTTATCAAATATAAACACTTCATTGTAAACACAGTTTATATGTGTGGGATATTAATAAATGTGTCCATGCTGGTGTTTTCTCCTCATATATCTATCAAGTAGCTGTGGTATGATGTCGAGGTCACACACGTACATTTATATCTTATCATGAATATGGGCAACAGGTTTGGCGTGTCACATGACCGGCTCAGGCACTCTAGGTATCTAAGATGGTGACTTTCTGTCATCTATCAGAGGTCTGAGGAGCGTTTAAGGAAGAGCTCCAAACACCAGTCTGTATTAACAGGAGCTGCTGAGTGTGATGACCTGTTTTACGTTTCTTTACCCCACTGGACGTCAGAATGTGTGTGTGTCTTCTATACTGTCTCTTCAGTATATTAGCTGTTGCTCCTCAGTAAAGCTGAAGTTTTTCTTGTCGAACAATTGATTGATGGATCTGCAGATCACTCCATTACTAATCAATAGCTGCAATTTTCCATCAACCCCATCCTTCAGGTGTGACAGATGAATTCAGCCTGTCATCTTGTAAAGTCGTCCTCACTGAGACAGAGCTTCGCCGTGTTTTGGTTGGATACACAAAGACGTGTTTTGTTTTCTCATGTCAGCATGTGGGCCGTGAACAAATGTTCATACATCCAAAATATGCAGCAAACTATGCTTCACTTGTGTTGGGAAGGACACAGCGCTGCATTGTCAAGTGAGTGGGTGACAAGATATGAAAGCAATGCCACTCAGTCTCTTTCTGCCTCCGTCTCTCTCGCACATTTCTGCCACGATAATACCTCCATTCAACTCAGCGGTCTGATCATGTTTCACGCATGTGCACCCGCATTGACTGCCGTTCTGTCCCATTTCACCCCCTTTGATACGTCTTTGTGTCATCAATAATGACAGGCAGAAAGAGGCTGTCCACGTCAGGGCCCTCGTGCCACCGCCACACCAGCGCTCTGTTCATCACCTCGTTCCTATATCCTCACCCTCTGAGCGGAGCGTCATGTATTGTTTCCCTGCTGTCAGCAGAGAGCCGTGCTAAAGTGCCGGCTTCTATTCACTTTGACTCACGCACAGTTCTGTACAATGGCCCCGTGTTGCTGGGGCGGCCAAAAGAGGGATCACAGCACAATGTGCAGCTTTGCAGGGCCGGGAATAAAGAGATGGCCCAACGTGAGTGTTCACGCTGTCAAATGAGAGCTCACAGGGACAAAAACAACGTGTTAGTGTTACATAAAGTACGTCTGTCCGTCTACCTGTCCGTGTGACGGCTGTCTTTAGACCACTTTGGAAAAACACTTGAAACCCCGCAACGCTGCGGCTCGTACCGTCAGGTCTGGGTGTAACGAGGGCAGGCCATTACCAGACGGAGCAGACAGCTCTCAGTCCATTACTGAGCCGAACAGGAAGTGAACCTGAATTTATAGATATGTCATTATTTCCTACATTCATCTCAGCGACTCACAGAGCTGTGTTTCCTCTCAGAGAATATCTGGGACAGTCCTGCAGACGTACTGATCGTCTCTGTCAGATCTACATTGACGGGGATTCTCAGATACTGTACTGATCTGTGTGGAGGCCCGTCAGCACCGCTGGGATGAAACAAAAGATCCTGTACGTCGTTATAATGATAAACTTTCTCCAGATAAAGACTGAGGGCTGATTTTTGGTTGGACACAGACTCAGTGTAGAGACGACGCCGGCGCCTTCCAGTGTTCGTTCTGACAGCTGTTTCAGATTTAGTCTTGAGATGAAAATGTTTATTAGTTTTAGTCATTTTTATCCTTCATACAAAAACCCCAAACGTGTGACTGTTTCTGTTGGCTACTGAAACATCCTGGTGCAGACTATTTACTGGAGTTTACCAGATAATTACAAGCATGACTGTTCTTGACTGTCAACATCCCATAATGCACCACAAACATTTTCGTTTCATCTTGTCAACGAAAATGAAACAAAGATTTTGTCTTAATTTTTTATTATTAAGGTCTATTTTTAGCTTGTCATCGTCTAGTTTTCATCATGGAAAAAGGTCGCTGATGAAAAATGTTCGTCCTAGTTTTCGTCAACAGAATTAACACTGGAGCCTCAACAAGTGTTCAACACCATCATTCACACTGTGCGGTGGTGTGTCCGTGTCGCTCTGCAGTTACACCTCCAAAACACTAGTTGGCGATGGTGTTAATGTGCCACTGTGTTGAGTCTGTGTGAAGGGCTGTAAAGTTTGATTCACTCTACTAACACACATTAAACACACACTAACATGGATAAATGGAGACAATATTAAACAGCAGAACAACACTATGACACACACACAGGCCTGTGCTGTCTCACAGTGCGATGGTGCATCAGAGCATTCAGAAATCCCGACAGTATCATTTCTAATATTGTCCAAAACACAGACGCTCCTCTTCATATGAACGTCACACTGCAGAGGCTGTACTGTGGATGCTTTGCATGTAGTGCACATCAGCTGCCAGCAGAGGTCAGTATGGTGAAACAGAGCTGACTGTGAGTGGAGGGCAGAACGTTACGGGACTGTAAACAGCACAGGAAAGCAACAGATTTTCATCTAACTCTGAGAATTATGGGATTATTTCAACCTCAACAGAGCTGGTGGTCGTTGGAACAACTAACTAGACAACTAAAGGCCAAAACATATCACAAAATAAGCTCCTATTATTTTCAAAGTACAACCCCTCAGCAGCGGCTAGATGCATGTCGACGATCCTGGATTCCAGTTTTTAATTTTACCTCAAAAACTCTGATCAGGTCAAACAAAGCAAACAAAGCAGACAAGAAGTCGAAGCTCAAACTGAACTAAGTGATATTTACTCTGGGTACGATGTGAAAGAAGAATCGTAACTGAACTTACCGACAGCTTTGTCTCGATCCACCCGTCTGTAGCTCCTCCTACTTCTCTCAGGAACTGACCTCAGCAGGGACTTGGAGGCAGGGGGGTTGATGGGGCGTCAGGGGTTTGAACCCCTCTGAGGTTCTTCCTCTCAGATGGTTCAGTCTTTAACAAACTTCCTGTGGAAACAAACAGATGAACACATGAGGATCAGCTGTAAATATAAACACATACCATGTGTCAGCTGATTGTTGTATGATACAGATATTCAGTGCTGGAAAATGAAACACAGCGATACTAAAGTGTGTCCGAGTCCTCGTATAGAGTGAAAACAGATATAGTCAGAGGTCAGGATTATTCAGCTCCAAACCTTCGCCCACACTCGTCCTCCTAGACCTGATAAACAGCTTGTTCTTATAACTGAGGAGATATTGTGTCCTGCAGCAGGACGGACGGACGGATGAATATCTGCAGTGAAGAAAAACAATGATGCAAACACAAAAGCTGCGTTCATGATCACAGAGATTTTACTGTTAGTCAGTGCAGCAGCTGTCCTCATAACGTCTGTATAGTCACCTGCAGTCTGAACACTGTCAGGACACAAAACAGCATCACTGAGCGTCGCCACAGACGCAGGTCGACCTGCTGTTGTTACTCTGGGATGTAGATTTAACTGTTGTGAGGTCAACACCACCGCCGACTAGGAAATACTTAACATGCCCCGCCCTCTGCAGATCAAGCAGAGCATTGTGACGGCCTCGGCACACTCGTGCACGCACACACACACACACACACACACACGTTACAGTTAATGATTAATGTTTACAGTGACCTCACAATAATAAACAAATACAAACAAACAAATAAACAGAGAGGAACTGAGAGCCGTACACAATGTGGGGAACAGCTTCATACAGTCATCATCAGATGATCCATCGATCTGCACTGATCTCAGTGATCAATGACCCAATATCATCAATGCAAAGTGAAAACATTGATCCATATCATCGTCTTAAGGTCACGCTTTTATTTTGAAAATCTGTGTCACTGTCAAACAGCAGCAGCCGAGAGAAAAGTTATTTAATGTGGAATAAATCAGCAGAGTTAAAAGATGTTGTTTCAGACTACTGACAGGTCGACACGCAACACGTGTCGTAAACAGAGCCGTAAGAGATCAAACTCTGGGGACACGTGACGGACCTGGTCGGACATCTTACTCTAACGTCTGACTACAGAAACAGCAGCTGCCTGACGGGTCTCACTTATTCACATTATTTTTCAGCAGCTTCGTCTGTAACACACGTGTTCAATGATCAGATGATATCGTCTCGTATCGATCGCAGGACCTGAATTAAAATCACATCAGAATCATATCACAGCAGAGTTTGTGAAATCTTCAAAGAATCGATATCAGATCATATCATAATGAAACTGGTGATTTACGCTCCTCCTGCTTCAGTAAACTTCAGGAGCAGATTTCTCCTCACAACTCGGCTGTGACTGGATCATGTCACCGTTAGAGTCCCCTGAAAGGTGATTGTTAGTTATGGCTCAGCTGTGACGGCGCGTCCTCCTGGATCCCCAACACGATAACCAGCCGCCGGCACACGGCGTCGACACATTACAGATGGGCACACAGGAGGAACAGCTAACACCAGGCAAACAGCTCCTGTTGTCGTGCTCAGTTTCTTCTTCACGGCCTGCTCAGAGTCCCTCTCAGTATCGATCGTAGCAAATGAGATCAGCTGGTGGGATTGTAACTTCAGCTGCTGGGCCGATTAGATCGGGTGCTCATATAACGCATGGGAGATGAAGGATAATGTTGCCGTGATTGTTTCATTGCCACGCTGCGATCATTGTGCCCCGGTGTTAGTGGCGTTCTATAATTTCTAATCTCATTTTCTAGAAATAGTCCCGCAGAGAGCCCCCTGATCCTGCCGTAATAGTTTGGAGGTGAGCCCCATTAACCAAATGAGCTTTTCAGAGCACAACATTCCTATTAACAGCACCGTGCAATCCCTCATCTCCTCCCAACGTGCACCAGCAGCCTCCCTGCAGACCACGGGCACTAGCATCACACGTTCAGGACATTAAAGCTCCCCTGAGCAGATCTGGCACAATCCCTCCTTCACCAAAATGACCCTGAAGCCCGTGCACACATTCATCCCACACAGACGCCTCTCCACATTCCAGTCTCTCTCCCACTCCTCTGGATATTTCCCTGCAGGCCCCGAGCTGCTCACTGGGCTGTGCTAGTGATCAATGGCCCCTGGTCACTGGCGTCAGGGGGGCCCTGGGCTCCAGGAATGGGGGTATTAATAATGCAAGGTCCAGGCCTGTCATATCCTCCATTAGCACGGAGGAGGCGGGGGGCCCACCGGCTGATTGATTACTAATTAGATTAATTGCCGTCTCTTAGAAAAGGAGGAGAATGTAATAGACTGACGAGAGCGAGGCGAGAGGAGCCCGGCCGGCTGAAAAATATCCACCCAGACTATTTCTAAAAAGATCAGGAATCTCTCATCTGGTCTCCTCTGAGACGAGGAAACAAAAGGCAGAGTCGGCACTCATAAACAAGCGTTCAGTCAACGTCCGGCCGCCACATGTTACTTTGTAAACACCCAATAAATGAGTGAATCCTCTGCAGGCGTCTCCACACACAGCTGACCACACTGAAGACGACACTGTGCTTTTTGGCTGCTTTCATTTGAGATTATTTCCCCTCCCGTCCACACATTTGTGTCTTGTTAGCTCTCACTATCTGCGAGACACGACGTGATAAGACTCGCTGCTCTCCAGGTTCCATGTAATGTGTGTAATGATAGTGTTGCTGAATGCAGCCGTTTGCTAAAGGCTGCAGAGGTGCGGACAGATTGAGTTCCACTTAATCTCCTCGCCGTCCTTTGGAGATAAAACTAATAAAACACACATCAAAGCTGTGGCGTACACACTGCAGTCACCGAGGGCGCTGAATCAACATGTTTCCTGCCGTGTCACATCACATGTTTTCTCTTAACGACACAGATTATTGTTGTGAATCAGACTGAAATGAGTGAGCCGATGTTAAAATCAATTAGTGTCCACTCAGTGTCTCCTCCAAATGTGACGCCTTCAGTTTGAGGACCGATTCATTACCGTCCTGATCAGGACCAAAGTGGCACTCTGTGGGAAGTTGCTATACTTCATTTTAATTATACTCGGTTCTAATTAACGGTCAAAGTGTGTCGTGGTCACAAAGTTTCCTGGAACATTTCCCCCCGTCCTGACCAGGAAGTGATTGGAAAACACAGAGTACTTTATCAAACTGGCTCAGAAACCTTCCAGATCCTGTATCAACATCACCGCTGAAATTATTTCTGTCAAAATCACGTCTTCATTTTCCAACGAGTGGCGAGGCGGGCACACGTGTACGAGTATGAGACTAATTGGCACGCTGGTTCGGCCACACTCATTACATCCGCCCACACTCCACATAAATAGCCTCACACTTGTGAGGGGATAATGCCTTCCAAACAGGGAGCTGCAGTATTTGTCTCAGCCTGCCTCTGCACCGGCAGACCGCGGCGAGTCTCAGCCCGCTCTGCTGGCTCTCGCCATCCTCAGGGGAAAACAGTCCCAGCATGCATTGGTATGTTTAGTGCATTAACTGTGCTGAAACAAATAACTCATTTCTGAGGATCCTGTGGAAGAGGACGCACAGTTTGGACCAAGAACTATGAGGAAACATGGAGAAGTCTGTCAAGACATTATCGCCCTTTAACAGCGCCTGTTCAGGGCGAGGATATCACGCCATTACTCCACCTCGCCGCTCTGTATCAAAGGTCCGATCGTAGAATCAGACACAGAACTCAGGTACTGACAGCGCAGACGCACTGTCTGTATGAGGACATCTATCTTTATACTTTATACTGATATTGTTATTGACATGTGATGTCATTGTTATTGTTTCCAAAGAGCTGCTGACATGTATGTTATGTGTCACACTGGAGGCTGACGCTGCTGTCACATGTTAAATGTAGTGAGCAGAGCTACTAACTGCTCTTCATCACAGTAACGGCTCCTCAACTGAAGCTACTCTCACAGAGATGCAGTGAAGTTAGTGACGCTGCTACCTGTAGTGATGATACATGTCTGTGATGTCATCATGCTGTAATCACACACGTGTGTAAAAATGTAAAGGCGGTGTGCAGGCGGGACTTTGTGGCAGCTCTATAGCGCCATATGTGTGTAAACAGGGCTGGTGTTTATCATCAGTGGGGGATGTGGACGTCTTATCTCATGTCACAGATCATGAGACTGGTCGTCAGCGTCTCTGACAGCGAGAGGAGTCGTTACGCTCTCCGTCACAGATGAGTTGTTGAGGGTCTGTCAGGACAGAGAGGAACATTAGAGCCATTAATTATTCTGCTCTCCTCCATCGAGCAGGGCGGCAGCTCTGAGTCACTCCCTCATATGTGACAAAGCTCCTCTAAAGACGGAGCTTTGTTGGACTGCCAACACTCAAATCTGTCGGCACATCATCCCAAAGGACAATAAAGCCAACACATTCATTCAGCATTCACAAACTGTCAGGAGCTGCTGCTGCCGCTGCCGCCACCACCGCCGCTGCCGCCGCCGCCGCCGCCGCCGCTGGCTTTCTGATGCTTCGAGGACTGAGATCAGACACACACAAAGGCTGAGAGGGAAGTAACACACACACACAAACCCTGAAAAGCCTTAAAACAACAGAACAAACCCAGATTCAAACTCAGAGACCAACCTGAACGTGTCACACCTCAGCTCTCTGTGGGCGCATCTATGACATCATTAATGTAAACACCTGTGCCTGTTTGAGGGTGAGGTCACATTTAGTCTCACTCATTCATCCTGTGACCCTGCACATGATGAAGATCTGTTTGTGGTTGATACCGTGACGTTCGGCTCACTGTAAAATATACATTTACAGATGACATCATCATATAAAGAGCTATCTGTTTATTATAAACAACTATCTGTTTATGCCACAAACAAAACATAAAAAACTACAAATTCCACCTCACCAGGCCAATCAGCAGTCTGAAGATTGTGTCTGACCAAATGTCTCCCCTTCTGTTCCTGAGATATGACGTTAAAACATGATGATGTCACAGTCAAGCTGACCTTTGACCTTTTGACCTTCATTATTTTATCCTGTTAGACA